ATCACGCCATTTCAATTGAAATTGAACGCAAGAGCAGAATTTTTTCTATACATATGTAGAATTTCTTGAGACCTCTCATTAGGCCTCTAAAGTCGTGGTATTTTAAACAGCAGCAATCGCGTCTTCTCCGACTCTAAAAGGTGACAATTAACCACGCCTTCCTCCGACGGGTTACGATTTTTCCTATCTTTGTTCACGCCTTCAGTCCTTTTAAACTTGATACTCGCAAGGGATTGGAGCAACGGCAATTTCTCATATGGTATTCTTTTTCAAAAATCAAAGCCTTGGCAATTGGAATTGACTAAAATGATCAAAATTCAAGATGGTATTGCCCAATCCTACATTCTAGGGGCTTGCTAAAGGCGGATTAACCTATACCACCTCCCCTTTCATTAATTAAAGCCCATCTATATACAATTACGCGTGTTATACTCTTCATAATAAATCTGTTAATTGTTTGAGCTGCCCCAGAATACATTTGTGAAGCATGCAGGGGCCAAGACTTAAATTCTTCGATAGTTTTCGAGTCAATGTATACAGTTGCAGACTACTTTTGTAGTCTTTACTCTTCATATCTACTTTAGTTTTTTTTCTTTTCTTCTCTCTTCTTCATAGTCAATTCATAGACCTGATAATGATGAAGGATAGATGATACAGAGCTCAGGCATCTTCGGTTCCCACTTCCCAATGCTCAATTAATATGTTGTATAAGTCAAAAATTGAAAAGGGCCATCCAAATTGAGGTGTACTATAATCTGAACACAGGTACCAATGAGGAAACAAACATCTGGAAACAACATATGACTCTCAAAATCTGTTTGTATATCATCTACTAAAATTTTTTTTAATTTCTGTTCTTTTTTGGGGTTTGTAACATGAGTTTTAGACTCGTCGCCGCTATTAAACTTTTTTCTCCAGATGTTGAATATTTGTACACATAGATACATTTACATCATACGAAATATTGATCCTAGACATTGTTCACGTTTACATAAAGTAAAATTTTCACATAATATTCACATAAAGTTTACATAAAGTTTACATCATACGTTTACTTCTAAAGCTACATATAATATTCACAACTTTTAGCTTTAGAAGTGATTTAAAATCTTATATTTATGTCCATTTAACCTTAAATGCCCAAAACTACAGTACATGACCTAGAAAAATCCAAGACACAAGAAATCTGGCTGTAGTAGCATCTGTGTGTGTGTGTGTGTGTGTGTGTGATGAATGCGTGATATACATTACTACTGCGTAGTGCGTACTAGGCAATTGTGGTTTGGCTTTAGTGTTTACTGGAGGGGTTGACATTTCTAACTAAATGCTCTCTTCTTTCGATTCACCTAACTCTGCCCCCTTATAGATATACCGCTACTCCTCTCGAGATTCTGCATGCAAATTTTAATGCAACCCTCATTTATTATTCTCTTTAAATATCCCCTATCTAACCGTACTCCTTTAATTTTGTTTTCTTTTTATTTTTTACCTTAGCTAATTGGATTGCGTTTCTCAATCTCTCCAAATATAAATAGGCCTTCTTGTCCACATTCACGAACACCCCACTTCCTGATTATAACATCTCTTTATTTTCTGCTTTTTTCTGTTAGGTTTTGTGTGAGGGAGAGAGGGAGGAAAAGGGCTAGTCATGGCCAGGTTGATAGTGTACGTGATGGTTGTACTTGCTGCAGTAATATTTGTGCATGCAGCAGCAGCAAGAAACATTCCTAGTACTACTATCGCTACAACAGCGAAGCCTAACGAAACTCAAACTGAAAATACACTGAATGTGAGAACTGCTGCAGCTCCATCTCCAAGTGGTGCTGGCGTTAAGGACAAGAAGAACTTCATCACCTATGGTGGCATTGGGGGATGGGCTGGAGTTGGATATGCTGGCTTGATTCCAACACTTGGTGGCATTGGTGGAGTTGGTGGTGGGGTTGGTGGAGCTGGTGGTGGGGTTGGGGGACTTGGTGGTGTTGGTGGACTTGGCGGCCTCGGCGGAGTTGGTGGCCTAGGTGGCGTTGGTGGTGGAGGTGGTGCAGGTGGTGTTGGCGGTGTTGGTGGAGTAGGCGGTGCAGGAGGAGTGGGCGGAGTCGGAGTTGGTGGTGGCATTGGAGGTGGTAAAATTATTCCCTAAATGAGATGAGTCTAGGTTGTTATTTTACTTCTGATCTTGCAATGTTAGGGCTTTCTTTGAGTTCAACAAGTACTGTTTTAGTGTTTCTTGGATGTCATTTGTAGCATGCAATCTGCATAGGCTGTCCTTTTCAGCTTGTTTTGAAGTCATTGTAATCCTCTTTAATTTCCTAATTTAGTGAACTTGTTTAAGTGTAGGTTTTTTGTTCTATTCCTTTTGAACTGTCCTTGCCATCCGACGCTTACACTATCTTGCAGCAGAAAGGCTACAACAATTGTTATTGATCAAGTTAACTCTTGATCATCAGTACTTTGTTTAAGAAAGTGGAGCTAATGAAAATGAAGTTCTAATACTGGAAACTTCAACACAATGATTAATGAACACTACAAGAAATATGTTTTTCAGTGACAAAAATTTATGTGACAACAAAAATCTTGTCACAGATAACCTAATTCAGTGACGACATTAGGTGTCATCACAGATGAGTACAGCACAAGCATAATCAGTGACAACATTGGAAGTTGTCATTCTCAACTCGTCACGAAATAGTTGGCGCGCATCTCATTTGATGCCGCGGGAAATGATTTTATGACAACTCAAGTAAAGTCGTCACAAACGCTCTCTCTACAGTGACAACATAACTTGTTGTCATTGAAAGTCTACCTGGTTCCAATTTTGTGACAACGTTTTGCATCACTGTATACTACAGTATTTTCATCAACTTTCACTAATTCTACTATGACACCCTAATTTTATTTTTTAGCCCCCAATTCTTTTATATTAGCAAAATCACCGAAGATATGACACCCTAATTTTATAATTTAACCCCTATTCATTATGTATTAACAAAATGCAAATGATATAATAACAAACTATTTTTAGATATTTGTAATTTTTGCTAAGTTGACATAATAGACATGTCTGAGCATAAAAATTTTTTCATGAATTGTTTATTATTACTTATAACAACCCCCAAAAATCAATAACTGAAATAATTTGGAAAAGTGTAATTGAATATAATTTGTAGTCTAATGTTAGCACTGTGAAAGATTAGTATAACGTGTAATACATCATAAGTAATAATTATTTTCATATGGAATGGGTATATACGAAATTAAAATTATTCAGTAAAATATCTGTCGTGCAATAAGATTGAGAGTTGTAACACATTTAACAGAATATTTGATTACATGTTTCTTTTAATTTATTATAAAAACTAAGTAAGAGACAAAGAGTAGGATAGCATGAGTAAGAAGTGCTATAATGTATATAAGCAATTCTATAGTATTTTCATCAAATTTCACTAATTCTACTATGGCACCCTAATTTTATTATTTAGCCCCCAATTCTTTTATATGAGCAAAAGCACAGAAGATATGACACCCTAATTTTATAATTTAGCCCCTATTCATTACGTATTAGCAAAATGCAAATGATATAATAACAAACTAGTTTTAGATATTTGTAATTTTTGCTAAGTTGACATAATAGACATGTCTGAGCATAAAATTTTTTTCATGAATTGTTTATTATTACTTATAACAACCCCCAAAAATCAATAACTGAAATAATTTGAAAAAGTGTAATTGAATATAATTTGTAGTCTAATGTTAGCACTGTGAAAGATTAGTATAACGTGTAATACATCATAAGTAATAATTATTTTCATATGGAATGGGTATATACGAAATTAAAATTATTCAGTAAAATATCTGTCGTGCAATAAGATTGAGAGTTGTAACACATTTAACAGAATATTTGATTACATGTTTCTTTTAATTTATTATAAAAACTAAGAGACAAAGAGTATGATAGCATGAGTAAGAAGTGCTATACTGTATATAAGCAATTCTATAGTATTTTCATCAAATTTCACTAATTCTACTATGGCACCCTAATTTTATTATTTAGCCCCCAATTCTTTTATATGAGCAAAAGCACAGAAGATATGACACCCTAATTTTATAATTTAGCCCCTATTCATTACGTATTAGCAAAATGCAAATGATATAATAACAAACTAGTTTTAGATATTTGTAATTTTTGCTAAGTTGACATAATAGACATGTCTGAGCATAAAATTTTTTTCATGAATTGTTTATTATTACTTATAACAACCCCCAAAAATCAATAACTGAAATAATTTGAAAAAGTGTAATTGAATATAATTTGTAGTCTAATGTTAGCATTGTGAAAGATTAGTATAACGTGTAATACATCATAAGTAATAATTATTTTCATATGGAATGGGTATATACGAAATTAAAATTATTCAGTAAAATATCTGTCGTGCAATAAGATTGAGAGTTGTAACACATTTAACAGAATATTTGATTACATGTTTCTTTTAATTTATTATAAAAACTAAGTAATAGACAAAGAGTATGATAAGCATGAGTAAGAAGTGCTATACTGTATATAAGCAATTCTATGCATGTTAAATTTTTGAAACATATTTTATTGTGTAAGTTTTATTGTAAGGTAATTTCATAAATAATTTGTATATTGAGTTGTCCAAACCCAAAAAGATGTATATAGACACAAACAAGCACACATATATATACATGCACAAAAAAGAAACCAATATCAAATAATTTATTTGATATTTATAGATGAGATTAAGAAAAAAAAAAGAGATTAAGTATGAAAAAAGAAACCTGAAAAAAAAAATTTTACCAGGGAAAAAAAAAAGAAAAAAGATGTATGAAGCTAAAGGCGTGAATCCTGGAATCTCAAAGACGTGTTTAGATGCCAAAAAAAAAGAGCGCCAGTCTGAAATCTGAAAGAGGCGCGAAGCTTGTGGCTGAAATCTCTACAAAAAGACGTCGTTTTTGGTTGTTCACAGACAAACAAAAGTCTCGCCGCTTCTCTCTTCCAACACTTAGACAAATTTCATTCTCAATCTTTCCTTCCTATGGTGAACACCGAAAAACTCTGGACCTCTAACACCTTCTGCTTCCGCAAAATGCTCCTCTAAAGCACCATTGACGAGTGCCAATCTTCAGGTCAAGCTCGCCGAAGAAGCGAAGTCAGAACACTTCCAAGCTCCCTCCTCGTTCCGCGACTTTAGTTTAGACTTTTCTCCGACCCCCTTTTCAGCTAATTGTGCGGTATGTGTTTTTTTTTTTTTTTTTGCTTTCAAAAGCTGCTCAGCCTTCTATTGTAAAGACTAATTTATGAATTAGATTGTTAATTAGCAGTGGGGAAGATAATACTCTTGGCCAAATCGCATCCGAAACACTTGCGATCTGGAGTATTAACAGTGTTAGGGATGGTCAGAACCGGCTTTCTTTGAGGAGCTATGAAATGCGAACATATTTTGACTGCATTAATTTGGTTGGATGAAAGAAAAAAAGGAGAGGAGGTCTTCGGCTGAACGGAAAAAGGGAGGAGGTTTGGAGAAAGGAAAAAGAAAACAGAGCAAAAAGAGAGAGAGAGAGCCAGAGAGTAGACGGAAGAAAAATTGAAAAAAGAGGGGTGGAAAAAGGGAAGAGCTTCGACAAGAAAACAGAGCAAAGAAAAACCAAGAATCGAAGGAATCAGCAAGGAGTTGCTGTTGCCGCTGCTGCCACCAGAATCCACCACCACCACCTGCAAGTCCTCACCGCAAAAGCTTGGTAAGGTTCCCTTTCTCCATTCCTCTCTTTAATTTTGTTAGCGGATGGGTGAAAATGAGAGGTATTGACCTGATTTTCTCTTCCTTTCTTCTTTTTAGTAAAACTTTTATCCTTTTCTGACGTCTATGTATTCATGTGGGGCTATAATTTCTGTTGTGTGAGAAATTTGATTGGGATGCTGTAAATTTTGGGGCTGATTAACTTCAAATTGAGCAAAGGATTGGCGAAATTCTTTATACCCCTGACCTGTTCGATGAAATGCCCAGTTGAGAGTTCTACTTGAAGATGATTTTGCTTGCGTTTTGCGTGTGAGAAAAAGGAACATTCGGCTAGTTCAGTGTTTGTCCGAACATGATAGCTAATTTTTCATGGTAGAAAACAGAGTCTTGAGAGGCTTTGTCTTGGAAATTGGATGACTCTAGCATTAGCTCTGGTTGTATACTAAAGCTATATACGTTGATTTGTAGCTCCCTCAATTTCATATGCCACGTCTGCTATCTGAGAAATTTGTAATCTGACAAATGCCACAGGCTTCAATTCAATCTGAGCTTTTCATGGTTAATTTCATGTTCATTTCGTGGCTGCTAATACATATTACTTTCTTGATACATAGATACTGATTTCATGGCTTTTTCATATGAATTCATATTAAAACTTTTTATGGCTGTTTTTCATATGACTTGTAGGCCTTAATTTTTGAAAAGGCTGAGTAACAAATTATTCTCGTTAGTTTGATAATTAGAAAAGTATTTTGTACTAAAGGCTGATAGTGTGGTATATCTAGGACATGGATAAAATTGATGAAAGAATAGCAATAGGAAAGGACAAGGCTTTATGAACTCGGAGTCAAAAATTTCCTCAAGTTTGCATAAGTTCTCAAAAAGTTGACAACTCAGGAAAAAATCCCATGCCGCATGTACACAAATGCAATAATTTTTTGTAACAAAACTAAAACAGTTGTGGAGGGATCACTTACTGAACTCAAGCATTCGTAAAGCGTAGCACAAGATGGATACCCATGGGAACAGGCAATTCGACACGCAAATAATTGTGGGGATAGTATTAAACATGGGGATGGAGGGAGGATGTCAAACCAGAATTGATGGTATAACACTAATCTAGCCATAACGTACTGTCAAGGCATTTTAGATGGCGATGACCTTTTCTTTGGTTAGTGTCATTTGAACAGTGTACATTAGTTTTTATAATATGGTGCCTATCTAGAAGTATAGTTCCAGTTTTAACACCAGTGCTCATTGCTTCAATTTTGGTAACGTGTAGGTTCTAACACGATTCCCAAGAAGAAGAAGCCAGTCATTGCTGTGAAGATGGTTTTTGAATTGAAGACTACAAGGCCTATCGTGCTCATGTTTTGTTCTAGATGGGAATCGTGCTCATATTTTTGTATAGAACTTTACTACTCTCTATTGTGGATGGGAAATCACTAGTATTGTAACTGAATGGCTTATTTTGGATGGTGCATGGTTTATGACTCATTTGAGGCAACATTTATATATATATGTATTTCGGTTGATCTTCTATTGGAAATGAATGTTGGTTTTCTTTTCGTAGGTTGGCTTTTTTTTCTCCTTGCTACTCAATGAACGTTTTGTGATTGTTGGTAGCTATGTTGCGTAATTAACATTAGCTTATTGCTTTTTACAAAAAAATAAATGACAATAAAAAAGTTGTCACTGCCAACAAGTTTTACTAGTGACACTAGAAAGTCGTCACTTTTTATGGATGGAAAACAATGACAATAAAAGTCGTCACTGAACGGAAGCATAATGTGACAACTCCAAGGGTTGACTATGACAAGAATTTAGCCAGTTTAGTGACAATAAAAGTCGTCACACAATGTACAACAATGAGTGACGACAAGAGTCATCACAAAAGCGAAATCGTTTGTGACGACTTACAATAGTCGTCACATGGACCCCCTTTTGTGACATAGAACTAGTGACAGCTCTGTGACAGTAGTAAAAGTCGTCACAAGCTTTTTTTGTGACAACTTCTGAATTTTTAGTGACGACTTTCGCCTGTCACAGAAACGCAATTTTCTTGTAGTGGAAGCATCACATTCTGATTCATAGAACAAATTTAGTACATACAAAAAAAATAATAGAATGTATTTTACATGGAGAATTGTTTCTTTTATTCTTTTAAATAAGCATACATTAATATATGGTAGCCATGTTTCTGTAATATTGAATTTTATGAATCAAACTCTCCTCGGTAGGTTCTTAGTTTTCATTCCAATGTTTTTATAGACGGTGAAAATTTTGCTATCTTATGTCCTACGGAATTGGACATGCGAAATTCGTTATATGGAAGATTAGAGAGGAACTTGCTAAGGACTAAGTCATAATACTACATGTCTCCTCGATTCAAGACTTTAAAAAACATTTCCATACCAGATGCTCTTGAATAATGAAACCAGAGGAGATATCCGACAGCAAATACAGGAATCACACATTGCATATAGATGTGCTTTAAATGTAATGGCAAGTTAATTTGGCATCACAAGTAAAGCTACGGATGACTTAAATTCACATTCATAAGAATCACATTATGCCTAGATGATATGTACTAAATTTGTCACGCCTCGAGCTCGCGCGTGCCCGTCACATGACATCTACCGTACTCCCAAGTCCCACTTAAGAATACAAGGCTACATTAACTAATTTAACTTTAAAGGTACTAAATAATTTAACTAAATAATGTGCGGTACAAATCACGTATAAAAGAAAGTCTACAAATGTTCAAGGCATTTGTACATTTATTCTCTGATTGAAACAGTGGAAATAAAAGTAAATAAAACTAACAATTAGAAGTAGCTAGCTTGCCAATTTCTTTTCATCTAAAACTAATAAAAGTCATCCTCAGGGTCTTTTTACGTAAACCAATTCATACTCTTCAGAATCTACAAATATGCAAAAATGGTAAGAAGTGGGTTGAGCGACACATCGCTCAGTAGATAATATTTACCCCTCTGTTGGACCATGCACTCTTAGTTTTATAGATACATATATATATAAGTACAACTCAAATCGTTTACAAATCATTCACATCCATAATTTTGAAAGTAACGTCATTTATAAAACAATCATTAGTAAAGAAATGACAAGCAGTTCAAAAGGCATCTTATTGATAATTATACATGAGAAATTGTAATGTCATAAATCACTTTATAACAATTCATAAGTCTCTTCATATCCATTCATAAATGATCCTGTAAAACGTTGCATATCAGTTCATAGATCATTTCAAATCAGCTCATAAGTCTCATTTCAAATCAGTTCATAAATCATTCCATATCAGCTCATAACAAGTACATGCAATGACCGGCTACTGAATACTCAGCCTTGAGATTAAACCCCTTCTAGGTGGGCGACCAATAGATTTCGCGACTATCGATTGATCTCATTTCATTCTTGGGTCAATCGGCCGGACTTTATACCAGACTACCATGACTTTGCCAATCGGCCGGATTTTATACCAGGCTACCATGGTTTTGTCAATCGGCCGGACTCTATACCAGGCTACCATGACCTTACCAATCGGTCAGACTTTATACCAGGCTACCATGGCGATTAGACAGGACTATAGCCCCTACCGTCTATTCCATGACTGCTCTGAGTTTTACTGGTCAAAATTCATTTCATATATCATATACATAAATCTTTGCTTTCATAAAGGATTCAGCTCATCTTGTATATAATAACATATCAAAACATTTCAAATAAGTCACATGACCCCTTTTGTATAGTAAAATATAGCTTTCATAAGTATCCAAGTAAAGCATTTAATCAAACACCTTTCGAGTCAACACAACAAAATAGGATTGAAAACAAGAATTTCATTTTGCACATTTGAAATCTCAGAAGGGTAAGTACCACCTACCTTTGTTTAGCTGCTCGAATGGAACTACCTTAGGTCTCTTAATTGGTACCGTACCTATCAATGCATAGGTTTCCTAATTAGTTGTTATTCCCTATAAGTACATAGTATACAATTCTGAGTAAGTCGAAGATTCATGTCTAGGCTATTATATGAGCCCTAATAGCGTTCCCCTCAAATTGAACGATCTCTATTTTTGGAAAGTTTCCTAATTTGGAAAGTTTTTATTTTTAGAAAGTTTCTTAATTGAGAAGGTTCTCCTTTTTGTAACGTTTCCTAATTTAAAAGAAGGTAATTATTTATTATTATTATTATTAATGTTCTCGTCAGCCTTATTATTTATTATTATTATTGTTATCCTTATGGTATTATTACTAGCATTATTATTATTATTATTATTATTATTATTATTGCGGTTTTAAACATTTCGCTTAACAATTTAGCACTTATCTTACCTCGTTTAATTTGACTTAATACAGCTAGATTAAGATGTTTTAGGTCTCCATTAAAATATCTTATACGTAATTTAACTAAGCATAACTTTACATGAATAACCCTTCCATTCTAACAATTGCCTTAAATTGAGTCTTGAATTTTTAATATTCACGATATACTATGAAAATGGACTAGTTATATTTAAAATTTATTTATTAAACACTTACTAAATTTATACTATATTTTGGTCCACATCTGAATTGCCCCTTTTTTTTTTCCTTTCTCGGCTTGAGCCCATGGTTGGCCAAAAGGCCAACCATTTGCTTGACCCTTTCTGGCGACCCATTCCTTCCATCGGTTGGCCGAGAAGGCCAACCAATTCCTATGTCTATTGTCGCCAGCAAGTGCTGGCGACATCATCACCCTTTTTTTTTTTTCTTTTTTTTCAATTGTCGGCCAACCTTTCCTCCGTACCAAAGTCGCCGCACTTGCGAGCGACTTTTGACTTTTTTTTTTTGCATCGCTGAAGCTTGGCTTCAGCAATGGCAGAGAACAGCCACGACGAGTTCTTTTCTTCTCCTCTTTTTTTTTCCCTTTTAATAACTTTTCAATCGATTTGGGTAAACCCTATTCATTTCATAATAAAATTTAATACCTCAATCCTACTAATCTAGATACGAATCCTCCTAAACCTCGTATACAATCATATATCTCTATATATATGGCATAATTCATATCCGCAAAATCTTTAGAATAATTAATTCGATTACTAGAACTTAAAAGAGAAGTTTCACGTGAATTTGAGACTTACAGGTTTAGGGGCCTAGTCGTTTGATTGATTGACGGCGACGCTTGTTTCTCCTTCTCTACTCTCTAACGGCTCTTGCTCTAAGGGGAGACAGACAATAAAAGGTAGGGAATAGGTTTTTTTTTTTTCTTTGTTGTTTTGATAAGTATGCTAAACCCTAATAACCACCCACTAGTAGGTAGTTTAGATAGGAGTTTTAACTATGGTGAACTTTCACCCTATCTTATCTCATCTTATCCCTTAATTAACCATTTATCCTAACCTGCAATTATTTTTGCTTTTACCCATAATAAATTACCATTTAATTAAATTGGCCAAGATAAAAATGAGCCCAAAAATCGTGGATTTTACAAAATTCGTTAGATATTCTGAAATAGGAGTACAAAATCATCTTTATGTAGATAATGCAGAATATATATATGTGTGTGTGTGTGCGTGTGTGAATATATATAGCGCGCACACGCTTGTTTACAATTCCAGTAATTGTATTTGTATATTTGAGCTATAGAGTTTGATGTTTTATATCCAAGCCTTTACAGGCTGAAGTGGCTTGTGCTGTTCTAAAGAAAGTGTTGTTGTATTTCTTCAAGTTTGATATGCTTTAATTCTTAATCTTCTAACATGTTGATCACGGCTACATTTTAAGTCACTTAAGATTTTACTTTGTGACAAGGTCTTGCTCGATAATAAAGGGCTCAAATTTCACATGTCCTTCGAGACTCACCATACCAAATTGATTATGATGTTGTAGTTTACCTTATAACTCTACTTTAGAAAGAACAAATCAAATTGAATATATATCATTAAATTCATTGTAAAAATGAGAAATTTCTTTAACTTTTGATAATCGATCACTTATGAGCATCATAAAGCAGAAACAGTACATTAAGCCGTTTCCCAGCATTATAAAACACTAACAACAAGTAAGTGAAAACGGAAAAAAGAGAAAGAGAGAGAGAGAGAGAGAGATAGAATCATAGAAAAAGAAAGAAAAAAAGAAGAAAAAGAGAAGGCACAATTTAGTTGGGTGGTTTTCCAATGTAAATCAAATTACAAGGGCATATATGAAATTTTGTTCAAATATAAAATTTCCCTCTACTACTTTTCTTAAAAGGCGGGAAAAAAAAGAGAGAAACCAAAAATACACGTAGCTGGTGCGTGTTTCGGGTGTTTGTTCTAGAGAGAGACAAAAATGAAGGAATCGAGCTCAACCAGAGATCTACAGAGCTTGCTCGCCGCCATTAAAGCTTCTGATGTAAGCTTTCTGTTTCGATTTTTGAATCGGTAAAATAAGTCTTGCAGATTTCATTTCGACTCTAGAATTTATTCTTTTGTGCATTTCGTTTCGTTCAATTTTTACGAACTTCCGATTTAAATTCTGTTTTCTCTCCTAATTAAAGTTTTAATGAAGTTAAGCTACTAAATTTGGTGAATTTCTTGTTTGATTTCTCTAAGTTCCCGTTTATTAGTGTTTGATTAGGGTTATATATGCATTATTAAGTGGTTAATAATTGTCACTAAATTCTATGTTTGAGCTCAAGCTTTTCATCTGTTGAGCTTCAATTTCTTAGACGCTTAAGAAATTTAATGAAATTCCAGCTTGACTTAGTGAATTTTCATTTGTGGGGACAGGGAAGCATTTAGGTGAATTAATGACATTTTGTCTATCATTCCTTTAAAACAATGAAAAAAAAATTCCATGGTTTGTTGAGATTGTGGTTGTGATTTCTGAGCTTAGGGATAAGATTGCACATGCTTTATAGCAGAAAATAATATCCTTGAGAAGGTCAAGTTAGCCTGCACGATTGTGGACAGCAAGTAACAATATAAGAAAATACTGATTCTTTTAGTTTGAATCTAGAATGTGTGATTAGAACAAGAATTACTAAAAACCAGCTATTCGATACATCAGGAACAGATGATTGAACATTGTTTCTTTTTCAAAGATTTACTTTGTCTCTTCTTTGTCAAATGACTGTCAAAAAAGGAACTCGCATTGTGGATTTGTGTTGCCTGTGCTGCATGGATACATAATAAGTAATTAAGCATCAGCTGATAGTCCTGGGATATGAAGCAACGTGTATTCTGCATTCACTAGCAGCTTTCTATGGGTCAACTAGCAGCCGTGAATGGGTTCACATGCTGTGCCCTGTATTGACAGTATTCTACTTTTGTCTGTTTCAGCTGTTTTTCTTGCACATTTGGCTATTTACTGTGTGTTGTTGATAAAACTAGTTGCTAAACCATACAGAAAAATGGGTAATATGCTCAACAGATCTTATTGGTCTTGTCCAAAGGATATATACTTATCTCAGTAAGCAGCTTGGTGGTTGTCTTCTCCTCTACTAACTTTCTGAAAATCATGGATGTTTTTCCATATTGTTTTGTCAATTGTGCTTGCTGATGCTGTGCTTCTTGCCAATTTTTCTTCCATTCTGCATCATGACTTCATGATTCAAATGATAAGTCTCATAAGGCAGTACCTGACACACGCTTGGATTATCGCCATTGTGTCTGCAGGTTGTTGAAAACCGTGTTCAACTGCTTACTGAACTCAAGAAGTTAATTATAAGCGAGACATCTGAATTGACTTCAATAATTGAAGCTTTAACAGTATCCTATCATTCTTCTGCATTTTATCCTGCATGCTAATACACCAAAATCCATGGCTTTTGTTATTACAGGCTTGGTTTGAGGGGTCAAATTTTGCATGAGTTTTGGTGTCTTCTAGATCCTCATGCTCAATGGCGGACTAATTTCCATTAAATGCACATAAAAAGCAGCAAACTATGCTCACACCTAAAGTGCTATATTATAATCAATTTTCTCTGCATTTATTGATCTTCAGTTCTAGTTTTATTGTGCTTGAATCAATTCTGTATGCAACTGTAAGATGTCATTGAGACTTCAATGCTCCACTTCCAGTTGTTGGATTTTTTTCTGCTAGCTTATCTGGGTAACTCCACGTGTGACCATTTTACAACCTTCCAGCCAAGAGTTTTTATTCTGTTTGCGAGTTAACTTCTAATACACATCTGTTACAATACTGTCTATTTGCCATGTACCTTAACATTTGATTGGGTATTCTGGGAAGACTTTACTTGTTTGGACATTTCTCAATGCATATTGAACAAGACGATATTGAACATTGCTGCAAAATATCTAGACCTAGACATTTCTGGATGCCAAGGAGAGTTTCTGGGCCTAGGGATAAAGGTTTGTTTCCTTCAATTTATTGTAAATATGTTTTTGATTTATAATATTCTTCTAGACAAGGGGTGATTTTCTTGCAACTCACCAACAATATATGTGTTTAATTTGTTCTGTAATCATTAGGCAAGTGCATGGTGTCGCAAGCATCTAAAAATGACATTAATGTCAACTGAAGAATCTCCAGAAGAAGAACACAGCGACTTGTTTTTTGAGGTAACATGTTGGCAAGTTAAATTCAAGTGAGTTAGATTTTTCACAAAGAGATATGTCATTGCTAGTTATCCTCCTCAGTGACAAAAATAGCACTTAGATTGATGAAATTCGACAAGAAATTCGTCTTTATGTCCTGAATAGGATTGAGGAATGGGGACTGGATTCCAACTTTGTACTTATTCTATGTTATGTTCTGCTTTATGAAAGTATTTTCCTAACTTCCTATCACATTCAAAAGAAGTTTCATCAAATTCAAAAGAGATGATACACTCTCTTTGTGAGTACAAGATACAGTAGTTAAGCAATCCTTGATTGTTCTGGAAAGGCTTTAGTTTCATAGAGCTTGTTCAGAAGATCTGATTTATTTCAATTGGTTAGAGATTTTCTTTTATTCTGTCTGAAAATTTAGTTTTATTGAAGGTATCCATTGACCTGTGAATGGTCTTGATTATAACTTGTGTGGACTACATCACATCTGAATGTTGAATATCATGCATTGGTATGTTTTAGCAACACTAAAATCTCATACATCTGCCTGCCTAAACTTCATTTGGTGCAATCATATGCTTCTGTTGCTAAGTTCTTGTCAGTGGTGGTTCTATAACTTGTCATATGATAATAGGTTCATATGTAAGTATATATTTTATTTCAGACAACTTCCACCTTTTGTGATAGTTTGTTTAACTTAGCTTCAATTTCTGCTGCACAAAATGTACTGTGCTATGTAAAAATCAACTATTAGATAATTTCAAGAGAGTAATTTAATGTACCTTGTGTTTTTGTAAATTCTTTGACATGAATGTGAATTGACTTACAACACAAGATGCCACCAATTCTGTGGTTGCCTTATTTATACTCTCTTGACTTTTTTGCAGTTGCTCTTGAATTTGCTGAGCTACTCAGCTGCTAGCTTTTCAGCTATGGCAAGATATCCCATCTCCAGCAGCAAGGAGTTCATTCTTACAATTAAAAATTTTATTTCAGAACAACTGAACTTGACAAAAGATGCATTGTCAGAGATAAAGGTATATTTATTTCAGAACAACTAAACTTGACAAAAGACGCACTGTCAGAGATAAAGGTATTCTGCTATAGTTGGTCACTACAGTTTTAATCAGTCTTGTTTCGTTAACTATGCATGGTATTCTATAGGTTTAAATCTGCTGGTGTTTACTGAATTGCACTTCAAATGAAGAAGCAATAATACTAATTGGCATAGCAAAATGTTCCTATTGCATGTAATGGTGACTTTTTGTAAAGTTGGGCAATTGCTCTTGTCGTTTTTGTCTTTGTCACCTCAATTGCATTTGGTCATTCTTCAGACTTTTTTCAGTAAGAATTGTGTCTCTCTCATGTAATCTTTGTTCTTATCTATGTGCTTTTAGGAATCTCTATTAAGTTTCAAACCAGTTTGCACAGTAAGTAATCATCTCAAGGAAATGTCTAAATCATTGTTGACATTTGCTTTTGTCATTCCTTGACAGAGGATACATGGATTTGGTTCAGAAGTTCAGAAGGAATCTCAAGTGGTTCTTGATGCTGTTATCCGATTATGTAAGGTATATTGCAATGGTGTAAATTGGGATTTTGACAGTTTGAAAATGAACGAGGATAAGAAGGTCTTAGTTATTGAAGGGGCTAGTGATGCAGATCATGTTATTAATATAACAAAATGTACAATAGATAAGCTGTGTGAAGTAGGCATTCTTGCAGCTAATGATGGAGGCAGTCTTGTAAGTGTACTTAATCTCTCTTGGAAAGGAGTTGTTACCTTACTTCAGCTCGGAAAGGGTGCTTTAGCTGCAAGGGTAGATGTAGCAAGTGTTGTTGTCAGTCTAATTTCACTTGCCCAGCAATCTTTGCGATGTGCAGCTGAGACTTGGTCATTGCAACTGAAAGAGACTCTCACTATGACAGAAGCTAAAAGGATTTTCCTTCCCGTGAAGTTTTATCTGATTAATGCAGTAAGAATTGTCTCTCAATATACAACCCAAGCTTTTTCTGTTTACAAGGAGATGGTAGGATGTGTTGTTATGATCTCATCCTTAAAATTTTTTTTGAGCAAGGAGGAACATCTAAAATCTGCAACTGAAGCTTTGGTAGAAATTCTACAGCCTACATCCTTCCATTTACTCAACTCTCTCCTGAATTCTATCCAAGTAAAACAAGAGGAGAAGTTTCAAGTTTTGAACTGGTTGTTCAGCGATGAAAGTAATCTGAATCCTGTTCCTAGGGTATCTAATGGCGAAAATTTGCCTTATACAGTGGATGGAATCCACTTTTCAAGTTGTGCTGCTATGGCAGTCCAAACATTTTTTCTTGGTCGAGTAAACCTGTTTCTTGAACTTCTGAAAAGCTCTGCTGATCTTGAAGATGATGTCAAATTCTGGATGGCCAGGAAGCTTCAGTGGCTTTTGGATATTCTTGTCGATGAGCATGTATATGCTGCCAGTCTTACCCTGCAAGTTCCCGTCTCACGTAAAAACCAGGAGTTCATATACCAGCCTTTTTTTCATACTATAGTCAATTCACTAGAAACATTCATGGTAGTTATGTCTTCGAATCCAGTATGGGGTGAGATAGAATCTTTCCTTCTGGAAAATTTGTTGCACCCACACATTCTTTGCTGGGAGATTGTTACTGAATTATGGTGTTTTCTGCTACGTCATGCTGAGACCAGTTTGGTGAAAGACATTATTGACAAGCTTTGTGCATTACTAGGGTACACAGCTTTTCCAGAAGCAGTTTTCAGTCCTGGTAGTGCTCTTCGAAAGATAGCAAGGTCTATTTGTCTAATTGTTACTTGCTGTTCACAAGCAGTAGCAGATCAAGTTTACGATGCCGTTACAGGAGATAACAAATCTCAAGATTCATCAATGATCTACACAGCTCTTCTCATGGAAGGTTTCCCATTAACTATACTTTCACAAAGGACAAGAAGTACAGCAAAAGCCAGAGTCTTAACAGAATATTTCTGCTTTGTGGAGAGCTTTGGTAGTGAATTACCAAAAACAAGTGGTTTTGAAATTTATGGTGCTCCAGTAGATGCTCTATCCGCTACATTGCTGTCTCAGTAAGTATTTTCTTTTCTTAAAGTACGTAGTTTAGAATTTTGATGTAGTTTTTACTTTTTCATATCCAAATTCTCTTTGGTTGATTACCTGTCTGGATGGAATGATACGCCAGAGTTCAGAAGTTGTTACTTGGTGGCCGTGTCCTTCCCTAATGATATAATTTAGATGCTTATTGTACCAGCTTCATTTACGTTCAGCAAAATATGCCTTATGCTGGTTCACGTGTCCTGTAGACAGGTTAGCATATCTGATCCAGAAATGAAGACCTTAAAGTTTCTGGTTGCTATCATTGACAAGTACAGAAAATGCAATGACAGCAAATTGAAGGACATCTACTGCAGGCTCCTTACTGAAGTTTTAACCATCACCTCTAACATGAAGCATTTGTACTCCTGTGATGGAATAGAGGGAGCCATCCTAGAACTTAGAAACCTCTTTATCCCCAAACCAGCTTTATCAGCAGAAGATAGTCTACTGTTTCAATGCAAACCTAATCTAGCAAACTTTATGGCTGGTCTTGGTCATGTTGAGTTGGCAGAGAGTGATGATAATGCAAGGACTTCAGCCGTTTGGGAATTGTATCACATGTTATTGAGAGAGCAGCACTGGGCCTTCATTCACCTAGCATTGACAGCATTTGGATATTTCGCTGCTCGTACACCTTGCGTCCAACTGTGGAGATTTGTTCCACAAGATGCGGCTCTTTCATTTGATTTGGAGTCAGGAAATGAAGCAGATGAGGACAGATTCATGGCCGAGTTGAAAGGATTTCTAGATAAGGAATCGGCTTCCATTTTAACAAAGCCTACCCCTGATCACACTGGGATGCTCCTAAAAGAAGGCTTGAAGCTCAAGGAAATGCTTAACAGAAACTTGGCCATCAATGAGGAAGCTGCAATTGGTGATGATGCCATGGAGGTTGATGCACACAACCATGGTAATAAGAAAAGGAAATTCCCTGATGAGATAGGCAAAGGAGTTGAATTATTGGAGAGCGGTTTGAAAGTCATGGGTGATGGACTTTCGCATTGGCAGCATAATCAGACCGGATTGAAAGAAATTCATGACAAAATTTTGACACATTTTTCTCGTCTTGAAGATGTTATCTCTCACTTAGTTAGACTAACTGGTGATACCTGAGAGATCGTAATACTCCACTGATGTTTTAGCTCTTACTGAGAAGCAAAAGCAGTGATATGTTTTCCTCTGCAGAGAAGCATCGAGCCCCAATAAGTTAAAGAGAGTTCCATTCTTTTGACTGAATAGCTAGACATGTACCTTACTTTTCCCTTACTAGTGAGGTAAAAGAAATACGACCTGCACATGAGGAGGACTCAATGCTAGTTTAAAAAAAAATTTTTTTTTTTTTCATCGACATCATTGAGAGACGGCTGCCTTGCTCACCAATTCGCCTCGAGGTTTCATAACAATACCTCTAGGAGAAGAAACTAATTTAGTCCCTCCAGGTTTCATAACAAATACTTCAAGAGGAAAAAAAAACTAATTTAGTCCCTTGTATTTTTAATTTTGATCACTTTGGTCTAATAAGTTATGCAAAAAAGGTTTCCCCACAGCACATAGTAAAATGCGTTGCATTCTTATGTAATGGTGGAAACTATAATATTCATTTTTTTTTGTGTGTAGGGAACTTATATTCATGCTCAGTGCAAAGCATTAACAATCACAAGTTGGGAAATTTTGCACAATCCATTACACAGAAGCTCATTTTGCACTGTCATCGTTTGATTCATGACATGTGTGCAAAAATTGAATTATAAATTCAAATTTTACATAATTGTCATTCATCCAATCTGACCGTGTATACATTGTCAGTGTAGGAAAGATTAATCCTAAAATTCACCTAACCTATCATGTATATATAGATACTAATAATTATTACCCTTTCTTATATTTATATACTTTTTCTATTTAATCTTATATACCTGCCCTCCCTTATATTTATTCACTTTTCCTAATCAATTTTATATTTTAAAAAATATGACATCTAAAATATATTTTAATGAGTGTCCAATGGATATCCGCTAAACAAATCCTTATTTTAATTAATTATCCATAAATATATTGCCATAAATTTGGTCCCAAGTATAGTCTTTTATATCTTGAATCCTAATGTTTGTTCTTGCAAGAAATAACCAGAAAGAGGATTATTGTTTCGGGCAACAACTCCTACATCTGAATTTAGTTGACCCAAAAAATCTGAAAGTTCATGGTTTTTCTATAAGTTGATTGTGGTCATCTGAACGAGTTTCGTCCTTGTTTCAGACTATTTGTGGAGATACTACGGCTTTTGACGTAAACCGGAGGCAGAAAATGAAATTTCAATTTTAATGATTTTTTCAACAAGTGTTCAATGAATATAGATACCTAAATCACACCTAAGTTATCATATAAATATGCATATTCACATTTATTACACGCCTTATATTATGATACTTTATTAAATTAATTATATTTTTTCAAACAAGTAATTGCCGAGTCCCTCTTAATGAGTGCCCATTAGGCACCCGTTAATTAAACCAAATTTCAATCTCTATGTTACCTCCAAATTAGCGTGTTAGACATTAATGAAGAATGAAAGTTGGAGAGAGTTAATGTGCTAAATTAGTTTGCTTAAAAGATACTAAACTTTGCTAATAACTGATTGAGATTGTCCTAGAAAGTCATGGAATTTGCTAATGGCTGCTGTTAACAAAAGAGGAGTAAGGTTTACAAATAAATAGATAACTCCTGCTAAATATTAGCAAGATTTTGTTAAAACAAACATAGCCTTCCCCTTTTTTTTCTTTTTTTTTTTTGCTAAAACAATAATAAATTTTTTGGTGTACGCTAATAATCCTTTGTTAGCTGTTTATCTTTGTTCCTCGATTCTTAACAATCCTATTTACCCTTTCCACTTCGACTTTCCCATTCTTTTAGGTGAAAAATAAAAAATTAAACCTTTGATTCCTTTGAAGTCTAACTTGGCCTCCATTTGACTGAAGAAAAAGTCATGACTTTACTCTTGGGACCCGACTCTTTTTTGTTACTTACTGAAACCTTACCTACCAACACAAACAAAACTTTAACAATAGATAAAAAAAAAAGAAGTTTTCAGTGATAATTGGATAATATTTTTTATGGTTAATTCCACTTTGCACCCTTTTAACTATATCAAAAGTTTTACTTTGGTCCTTAAATTTTAAAATGAGACACTTTAATCTCTAAACTGTAATTTTGTTCCATTTAATTAAGATTGTTGAGGAGGTGGAATAGACTTTTTTATTTAAGTGAATATACTTTAGGGACTATAATAGAAATAATTTTATAATTTAAGGACTAAAGCGGAATAAGTGACATTAACCCTAATTTTTAACAAGAAGAAAAAGTAACTCTCAAAGTGACAATAGGGAAATATCCTAGGTAAGCGTGACCCCTCTTAATGAGTGTTCTATCTTTCTTTTTCTTTTTTTTATTTGGTTTGTTCTCAACCTTGTCAATTGGCAACTTCGACACTAATTCTACTCCTATTTTAACTTATCTAAAGGAGGGCCTAACTGGGTTAGGAGGATTAGAGGAAAAAATTCCCACCTCTAGATCAAAATGGTGTAATCGATAAGTAGACTATTATACAATCTTTTAATAGAAGTCACGTATTAGTGACAATTGATAGGAAGAGGCAAGATTTGAATATTTGAAACCTTTGTGGTGACCGACAGCCCAAGAGACCATTGGTTTGTTTTTCAAATAAGCACACAAATTTGTTGTATTATGTCCGGTAAATGTGGAAAAGTGCTCGTCGACTGCCATTCATTGGCGGGTAAGGTGATGATGGCGCTACAGCAGCAAAATCCTACATCGAAAATTCTTCCTCTTCTTCCTTTTTCTAATCCTTTTTCGGCTAACTCTGAGGCCACTATTGCATTTTGATTTATCATCATTATAATTTTTTCATGGTGACAGCCAACTATAAATTCCTCGAGTAATTGAAAGGAGGCTCCTATTACCTACTCTCTTCTTCCACTCATCTATGATATCCTCTCACAGCTCCTAATAAATTTCCTTATGAAATTCATGTGCATTTCGAAATCTTGCGATTCTTCAATCTCAAGCACAGAATTCATCAAAATCTATCCTAAAACATCGTCTCAAACCAGCGTCGACACCGCTCACCATAAGCTAATCTTCTCTGGTTTTCCTCCCTCATTGTTTGATCACCTCACAGGATGTAATCTTAACTTTGCATTGAATGCACTTGTAACTGAGACAACCAACGTGATACTATATCTCGTCTATGCATTATTGGTGATTGAGGTCAATATTCGATACCTAGAGGGCATAAGGTGACAATTTTGGGTTCATGTAAGTGGCTGGTTTGCATTTCTAGCCAGAAGCGATGTAACTGGTTGGATTGCATTGGAAACCCCACGATTAGAAAAGGGAGGAAACTGCCTAATTGGGGTTTTCAGTTTCAGATTTCTGGTCTACAAAATTACAGGTTTGGATGTGTTGAGTGCATGATTATTACAAAGTTGTCACCCTCTTATGACACCATTGATATGTCACATGTCACAAATTGATCCAAACCCATGAATTATTTTAACTAATGCAAACCAATTTCGTAAATTTCTTTCGGTACTTTCCTTTGGTGTCATTAAGTTTGAATTAGTTAGTCTTGCTTTTTACTTTCTTTGATTCCAGCCACGTCCTACTCTTATATACGTAGCAGTACGATTTCTACGTGTTTTTTTTTCCTACTGAAAATAAAAAAGAAATTTAAGCTTTCTGCATCTTAAAAGTGTTGTGCATCTCCCTTTGATCTTGTGACATTTCTTTCCTTTTTGTTCCTGAGGCCAAGTATTGTTGCTTGGTCTTTCTCTTGTTCTTCGAGGGCTCTAGATATTCATCAGTTGTGCCAATTTCTATCTCACCCTTTATTTTCTGGCAAGGTGTCAATACACTGCTGGGGATATTCACACTCGTGCGAGAAAAAGATTGGTACAAGAAGTGGGACAGAAAGACCAAATAAATTTTTGGGTTTCAGCAGCCAACTCTAAATCAGCCAAGAATGGAAACCAAGGCTGTCAGTGATAAACTCCCAGTTGAACTGATCTTTGAAATCCTCACAAGACTCCCAGTCAAATCCCTTGTGAGGTTCATGTGCGTCTCGAAATATTGGCATTCGTTAATCTCAAGCCGGGAATTCATCAAATGTCATCTTCAAAAGTCATCCCAAACAAGTGATACTGCTCACCAGCGGCTAATTTTCTCTACTTCCATGTACATAGTATTCAATCCTGAACTCAAAGAATGTGATCTTAACTCTGCATTATATTTACCCTTGACTGAGGCAACCAACATGGAATATCCCACCTATGAATCCATTCCTCATCCAACCAACTGCTGCCCCAGTCCAACCAACTCTGAGGATTTCCAGCAAAATTTTGAAATGTACGAGGCAAAAGCAGTTAAGGTGTTGGGTTCGTGTAATGGATTGGTTTGCATTGCTACCCCAGAGCGAGATTTATTTTTGTGGAACCCATCGATTGGAAAATATAAGAAACTACCTGATTCTGGTCTTGAATTTGAGTATTCGGATTCCAAGAGTGTCTACAATTGTGTTCCTGCGTATGGATTCGGGTATGATGAGTTGCATGATGATTACAAAGTTGTTGCAATTTTAGGTCACTGCTTGGCTCTGGATCCGGATGAGGAAGTGGTTAAAGTCTATAGTCAAAGGACTAATTCTTGGAAGAGGATTGAGGATTCGAAAAACTGTCTTCCCCTAAAAGATTGGTGCGTTAATAATATTATCGGTGGCACATTGTTAAATGGGAAGCTTCATTGGACTGCAACCTTTGGCAGTCATTACCACCGTTCCGAAAAGAAAATAATTAGTTTTGATTTGGCTTCTGAGACATTTGGGGAGGTAGAACTTCCGGAAAATATGGGACAGCCAATATATCCAGAGGATCCTTTCTATAGATGGACTATAGGAGGTTTAAGGGGAGGGTGTCTTATTCTGCTTTGTGATCATAATCAGGAAAAGACTGATTTGGATGTTTGGATTATGATGGAGTATGGAGTTAGACAATCTTGGAAGAAAGTGGTTTCGGTTCGCTATGCTGAATATCGTGAATATATGTGTAAATTCGACATCCTTGTTCAACCTGTGTTCTCATCGAAAAAGGGTGAAATCTTGCTGAAGCTTGGATCCAAGTTGGTGCTTTACAATCCACAAGATAATTCTTGGAGGGAACTTCACATTAGTAACATGCCAGATGAGTCAGGTTTTCTTAAGGTGGATATCTATGACGAAAGTTTGGTTTTGCTTGATGCCAACGATGGATAAAACTAAAAGATCCGATTATCTTATGTCGCCTTACTTTTGAGTACTCAATTGAGGGCAAAATGGTTTAAAACTGAGTTCATGAATTTGTGTAGTTTGCAACATGATTTTGTATTGGTGGAGTGGATGGTATTCACACGTGGTTTGTAATTTGGTCCTGTGCTCTCTGCCAAAGTATTTGTTCTTATGCAAAGTAGTGTTTGCACCATACGAAATATGTGTTTCTATTTATTAAACAATGTAAAACTTTTGGTCTTATAAGGCTTTAATTTTTTTGATGTCCATCAAGAATTTCCATGTTATTTAGTAGAATCTTTTCCATTTTACACACATGCACACACTTCAATATATATATATGTGTGTGTATATATGTATGTACGTATAAATTAACTATATAAGATTCATGGTTCTACTCTCAAAGCTTCCATTTTCTTTTTGCTATCTGTACGTATATATGGAGTCGGAGTCTCCCTTTGAAAAAAAAAAAAAAAGATCACATGTACCAAAGCTTCTTTTTGAGTCTTAACTCTATATATGTTGATTATGTTATTCGTTTTAATTTTTTTTTTTAGTAGGAGGGGAGTGAAATTTAAGAAACGAGAAGATGAAAGAGGATTTAAATTCAAAATCTCTAAATCCTAGAATGTCAGGTTTAACTATTAGATCAAGACTTTCTCGACTATGTTGATTATAATGTTATCCTATAACGATTGTTATTGTTTCCATCATTCATTCTGAAACAATTAGAGACTGAATAATTACAATTTGTTAAAAGAAAATTGTGCAGCTGGAAACATGAATTTTTGAGTACCAAATAATCGATAATTAAATGGCTTGATGTAAGAATATTATTCTCTCCATCCCATAGTCAATTTTATATTTCCACTTTTTGAATGTCTAAAATGAGAGACAATTTCTAAAAGTTGGCACTAGGGGTGGCAATTCGGGTCCAAATCAGGTTGGCGGGTCGGGTTCGGGTCAACTCGCCAGAAAATCTGTTGACCCGAACCCGACCTGTCAACCCGTGACGGGTCAGGTATGCTGACCCGAACCCGAAAATTTCAGGTTGACGGGTTGGCGGGTCGACCCGAAATGACCCGAAATTTAATTTTAATTTATTAATTTATCATTGTAATTTCTAATAAAATCAATTTCTCACAAAACTAATTACATAATCAAGTAATAAAAATTTAAATAAATAATTTCAAACCAAATCTAAAATAAATTAAACACCGTAAAAGTGTTTTATCCCAAACAAAATATAAAATAAATTAAAACAATATAAAAGTAAAAAATAATATAATATATTATTTGTCCAAATATAATAATTTCAACTTCACACAAATTAAATAAATTCGATTAAGTAATTAATGCCTTTGAAAAAAAGAATAACTTAGTTTAGTTAGATAAAATTATTTTTATGTTTATTAAATTATTTTTAATTCGTAAACGGGTCATATCGGGTCATATCAGGTCACCACGGGTTGACCCGAAATCGACCTGTTTTCTTTTCGGGTTCATCGGGTCCAACCCGATTCTGACCCGAATTCCCGAAACCTCAATCCAAACCCATTAATTTCGTGTTAGATTCGTGTCGTGTTTTCAGGTCGTGTCGAAAATTGCCACCCCTAGTTGGCACCACATTGAATTAGCTTTTCCATTTTGTCATTTGATCAAAAAGTAACTTTTCCCACCTGCCTCACATATAATTTCAAAGCTTGAATCTAAGATCTTGTTCTCAATTAATTTTCAACACTTGATTTTAGATTCTAGAAATGCTGTTTTGTTGTGTTTTCAATTGATTTTCAAATCCTCAATAAATTTTTTGAGTAAAAAAAAAGCTGAAAATTAATAAGAAACACCTATCTTGGATTTTTTTTTTTGTTCTGATTTTCTAAAATTAGCATTTTACAAATTCAGACGCCATTGGGAACAAGACCTATGTACAACATTGTAAATTCATCCAAACCTATCTCAAGTCTCAAATTGTGGGATATTAAGAGTTCTTGATTGCTGGCGTTTGGCATTACTTCCTAAAAAGGCATACCTCAGATTTTATGGCATTTGTATCCTCGAGTCTCTAGTAACTAAATTAGTACTATCTATCTAATTCACTCAGGATACCAGCTGAAGGCGGTGGCAAGCAATTAAGCCTTTATGGCCTATGTTTTCTGGGTACCAGAAAAAAAAAAAAAAGCTTAAAGTCCAAGTTGCAATTGTTCTTCATGTTTCCTTTGGTTGCCGCAAATTCCTGAGTAAGTAGTAGCACAATGAAACACAAAGTTTTGTGCATCTGTTGACTGGTTTCTTTTTTGGGTGTCAGCAGCCAACTCCAAATCATGCAAATAATGGAAAGCCAGGCTTACCAACAAGGCTCCCAATGATCAACTCCCTTCTGAACTTTATTTACTATATAATCTCATGGCTCCCAGTCAAATCCCTTGTCAGATTCATATGCGGTTCCAAATCTTGGCATTCGTTAATCTCAAGCTCACAATTCATCAAAGCCCATCTCAAAGCATCATTTCCTCCCCACAAGCTAATTTTCTCTAGTTTCATGTATATAGTACCCAATCCTGAACTCGAAGGATGTGATCTTAACTCAGCATTATGCATGCGCACCCATCACTGAGGCAACAAACATGAATTATTCCACCTACGATTCAATACCTCGACCAATCAATTCTGAAGATTTGAAGAAACATATCCAAGAGCAGTTAACGTATTGGGTTTGCATTGCTACCCAGAAGCGACACTTATTTTTGTGGAACCCATCCAACAGGAAATACAAGAGACTGCCTGATTCTGGTCTTGAATTCCGATACACGGATTCTACTGCCGTACATAGCTGTCTTCTTACATACGGGTTTGGGCATGATGAATTGCACGATGATTACAAAGTTGTTGCTAACTTAGTTCTATGCTTGGTTCTTGATCCAGGTGAGCAAGTGGTTAAAGTTTTTACTCAAAGGACTAATTCTTGGGAGAGGAATCAGGGTGCCAAACATATTCTTGTTCTACAAGATTGGCGTGTAACTACTAAAACTGGTGGTACATTTTCAAATGACAAGCTTCATTGGACCCCGAATTCAGGCAGTTATTACCACCGTTGTGAAAAGGAAATTGTTAGTTTGGATTTGGCTAATGAGAGCTCTGGGGAGGTTGAACTCACAGATCATATGGGACAGCCGAAATATCCAAGGGATCATTTCTATAGATGGACTATAGGAGGTTTTAGAGAAAGGTGTCTTGCCTGTTTTGTGGTCATAATCAGGATAAGCCAAAGTCGAGAATTGTAACATAAAATAAGGATGGCAACAAAGAAAAGTATGGTACAGGAGAAACTAAAGCTTTTAATCTATCACATATTCAAAACTCCAAATTTGCGGACGGTTTTCCTAATTTTACCTCAATCTAACTCCAAGCCCTTAAACAGAAATACAACCTATTCCAATATTAACATCTAAACCCAATTCAACTTTGATACTAATTCTAATTCTAGTTACCAAATAACAAATCAATTTCTAAAACCACTAAAATTCTAAATAGCTTCATTTAAATAACAAATCAACTCCTAACACTACTAAAATTCTAAATAGCTCGATTTTTTTTTTAGTCAACCAAAGAAAAATTCCCTCATATGAACTAATAAGTTAGGTCAGTAGGATAAAATGCAACACGGAGAAAACTTTGAGGTGGACTGATTATTTAACCTGTTGTCAAATGAGATTGGGAAACCAACAAATAGTGCTTTCTTAGTCCGACCTCCAACTGGTGAAATTGGCTTTTTAGCTCATTTTTCTTAATCAAAATTTGATTTTAGCTCCATTACTATTTATCTTCTTCTTCTCCGTTTAGCCCCCTGTCGTTTCTTCCTTTACCAATCTTTTGAGACTTTTGTTTTATTTAATTTATTTAACATGTGTGGTGGCAGGCAAACCTAAAATCAATTCCTCAAATAATGGAAAGCACAGCTCCCAAGGTTCCCCATGGTCATCTCCCTCCTGAACTCATCTTTGATATCCTCTTACGGCTCCTAGTTAAGTCCCTTTTGAGATTCACGTGCGTTTCGAAATCTTGGAATTCTTTAATCTCAAGCCCTGAATTCATCAAAACCCATCTCAAGGAAACATCTAACGCCCGCAATACTGCTCACCGTAAGCTGATTTTCTCTAGTACTTTTTCCCCTGTCCTTGATTTCCTCACAGAATGTAATTTTGACTCTGTGTTATATTCTCCCACGATCGAGGCAACCGACATGGTAACACATATGGTTGCATCATCCATGACTGAGGCTACAAAAATTCAACATCCCGCGAAAAAATCAATTGATATTGTGGGTTCATGTAACGGGTTGGTTTGCATTGCAATGGAATACACATTCAATCCGTTTGCTTCAGATTCTATCCGTGACCTATGTTTTTTTTTATGGAACCCATCGATCAGGAAATACAGGAAACTGCCTCAATGCAGTTTTGGTTTTGATTTCGAGAATTCTGATGTGGCAGCATATGGGTTCGGGTATGATGAGTTGCATGATGATTACAAATTTATCGCATTTTTACGTGTCCGCTCGCCTGAGAAAATTGCTGAGGATTATGATGTTGAAATTTATAGTCAAAGGACTAATTCCTGGAAGACGAATGAGGTTTTCAAAAAATATTGCTTTCTGCCATTTCAAGGGGGATATTTTGTTGATGGAAAGCTCCATTGGAGCGGAACCTTTCATCACGAGGAGGAAGATCACTATCCTTCATACAAAATTGTTAGTTTTGATTTGGCTGACGAGACTTATGGGGAGATAGAACTTCCAGAAAATTATAAGAGAAAGTCGAATGCTTTGAGATGGAGTATAGGAGTTTTAGGGGAAGGACGCCTTGCTTTCTTTTGGCTTCATACTCCCGACCTAGATGTCTGGATTATGACTGACTATGGAGCTACACAATCCTGGACCAAAATGTGCTCGATTCGCTATCCTAAAGATCTTCAATGTCGGCTTGGATTCCACCTTAATGTCCACCCTGTGTTCTTATCAAAGAGGGGGGAGTTATTGCTGAAAGTTAAGTCCCTTTTACTACTTTATAATCTAGAAGATGGTGCATACAAGATTCTCGAAGTGAGATCTAAATTGCGGGGTTTTCGTGGTATTCTTAAGGTGGATATGTGATAGGCGTCAAACCTGTGCAATAATAAATACCTGCTTAAATAAAATACAAATTCTGTATACAGCGGTAAGCAGGGTCGAATCCACGCACAGGGATTGGGGATAATTTAATTTCTTCTCAAGTTCCAGATATGGGGGGGTTTTGAAAATGATAGTAACTAAATTACTTGGAATAAATTAATTAAAATAAAATAACTACAACTCAAATAACTAATTATCACAATAAAAATAATAATGGACGAACTCTAGCCAAGAGACAACTTCGGAGATGGTTCACTTAATTCGATCACAGATGCAAGGATTATTCCAGTTACTATCTGATAAATTAGTTATAGTTGTCATACATGTGATAAACAACCAACTCTTCCTCAATTTGTCGATAGCCAATGTACGACCGTTGACTATTTCTCTAATCAGGAAATAACCCTAGGTACGACCATAGAAGTTCAATTCCCTAATTGCATGAATAATTAGAAGAGCCTAATTCTAACCAATCAACACGCTACGAGGGTCTCTTTAAGTTAGCCTGCCTATCTCCCTGACACAAACCCAATCATGCCAGTTGCCACCAGTTTAGAATAATTAAACAATTACGGATTTAACTGCCCTAATTGGCTTCAGGTTATTAAATTAATCTAGAATCCGGGCCCTGGATAATCGAATAATAAAACAACCATATGAACATAAAGCAGAAGATAGACAAATACCAGTGAATAATGGAAATAAATAAAAACTAATTCGATCTCACAAATTTAGTAGAACCAAATCCTCCGTTGTTCTTGACTAGACAAACTTAGCCACGCCTCATGAGAAAATCTTCAAGTAATTCCACTGAGGCCCAGGCCATCAAAAGAGCCAAGAAAGAAACGAAAAAAAACTAAAACTATCCTAAAGCTTCGATAAGAACTAAAGATAAAAAGTATTTTTTTCCTCTGATCTCCATCCGTGTACTTGTTTTTAAAGCCAAAGAGGACTAATGCCTCTCCTAGTGCGTGGATCCCGCCGAATTGAGAGTCAAAGTCCAAGAAGGAAACTCTGCCGAATTGAGAGAAAACCAAATCACAAGGTAGGTCCTGCCGAATTGCTTCTTGTTTCCCATCTCTGTACGTTACTTCTCTTAAAGGCCAAATGAAGAAAAAGCCTTTTCTCCTCTCGTGGTCCCCACCGAAATTGGGAAGCTAAAAGAAATACAAGAAGAAAGCTCCGTTGATGTTTTAGGACTCTTGGTCCGCGGCTACTAGTCAGCCAGGAGCAAAGACCAAGGCAATCCGTCTCCTCTTGTGGGCCAAGTCCATGGGACTTTCTTCTTAAGTCTCCCACTTATGGAGCAAGTCCCTCCTTTTTGGTAATTTTTTGCTTCATTCCCTGAAATTAAATCCAGATACCAAATCTAAGTAGATATCGACAATTAACACAATATTTGTCAGGGATAAAGAGGAAATTAATAATAAAATTACTAACAAATTATACCCTATCAATTCCCCCCACACCTGAACCATGCTTGCCCTCAAGCATGAGAACAACAATTGAACACCGAAATTTAATAATGGCTATTGCTCCAATTACCGTATTGCCAAGGTACCCAGAAAAACATATATCAAGCATCACAGGTTAAAATCAAAGAAAAACCACCCGGTTAGCTTCCCAATCACCAACTCCTCCAATTTAAAGCAAACTAATCTAAGGAAAAGGAATGGTTGCTCACATCTATCAGTAAATGGTCCAACCATTAATCAAAATCTCGACATTAAGATCACAAACCGGCAAGCTGACTTGTTCACATATTAACACAATCTTTATTTTATTTTTTTCTCTTTTTTTTTTTTTTTGAGTAACAAAAGACTTAGTCTATAGCCCTTAGAGCCTTTTGACGCGAACTCCAACATTTGACAGATGAAAGAGCCCGGTTACTCAGCTCCAATCGCTACAGGACCACACACTCATAGCAACTACTACCTTTTGACGCGAAAATCGACACTTTAGGTGAAGATTCCCGATTACTCAGTAGTAATCACTAGCGGAGTACAGTCAACTCTTATTTACAACCATACAACACAATAACTAAAAATAAAAAATAACAGCAGCCAGCCTCAAATTTCCAAATATAGAGAACTAAAATTAATAACTGGACCAATTCACATGAAAAATGCCAACTATCATTCTTTATGCCTAGAAAAGTTAACCAAAAATTAGAAAAGTCAAGCAATTACTGATATTCACCAGAGGGATGTTCCTGAGCTCAACCACATCAACTTGATACCTTTTTATTAATAAACTTGGCAATAGCAGATTTAGAGATAATAATCCAGCATCAAACTTGGTATTCATATGAAGACTGACCACTAAAAAGAAAGAAAAGAAAATAAACGAAAAATAGAACAAATAACAAAAATAAAGGAAAACATGTAAAAACTAAAAATTAGAAATACTAGCTGTACCACAGCTGTCCCTCCCCACACCTATGTGACACATTGCCCTCAATGTGATAATGTAAAAGCAGAAGGAAGGAGAGGGGCGACGGCACTTCCCTGAAGTCATCAAAATAGGGGCGGTTCAGGTGGAAATTGTGGACCAACTCGCATCTGAAGCTGGTGCCAATCGTGGCTTCACCATGGACTCTAGATATCACTCTAAGCAACAAGAGACTACAATTGCCAACAAATAATGGAAGCCGAAAATTCAAAGCAATAACAATTTTAAAGCCAACCCAACGAATAAAAAGCACAATTCAACCACCCAGAGGACATACAAATACCCCAACACTTATAGCAATTGCAATCAATAAGCACCTATGGTCCAAACGTAGTCAAATTCAGAATCAAGACAGTCCAAAATGCAACAAGTGTTCCAAAGAGCTTAGTAAAGGAAACCAAAAGGATAAAATGCTCCTGAGCAAGACAATTAGAGGTAACCACTTCAATAAGCAAATTTAAGCGTAACAGGCACCTCTTAATTTAACCAACAGCCGTAGCAAATTACCCACAACTCGACACAAATTATACAATTTAGACACAAATGGACCCAAAATCGTAACAACTGTCTCCAATTGGACAGTTAATTACCCAATTCAACCTGCTAAAATTAGCAATTGACCACAGAAATTGGCAATTCCAGCAACCACAGTTCAGGATTCGA